TTCCACGCCGATAGGCCAATTTTCAGGATTGGTAAAAATCATTTCCTGATGTTTAAAAATAGTTATGCGGAATTTTGTTGATGGATCCCTGGTTGAAGGATGAGGACGAGTGGGAGAGAATTTAAAGACTGGTACGCATTCTGCAGCGGTCAGTCCAATAGTTTCCAGATGTTCAAGGATCTCTTCTTTGACGCAGCTTTTCAATTTACCTACCCCAAAAACAATTTTTTTGGGAGGCAAAGGAGCTGCAGATAATTTGAAGGACCCAGGTTGTTTGGAACCTACAGTAATTGGAGTGTATTTTCTCTTTTTTTTTTGAAGTAACAGTGCTCCAAGAGCCTTCGTGGCTACTGGAATTAGAGTTGTTTTTATTGATGTTATTGTTAGGAGTTGAAAGTGAAGAATGAGCAGGAGCAGCTTCAACGTTGAGATCCACCAGCGATTGGGTTCCCTGCTTCGAGGTTTCATCAGATGGTGGTGTGTTGATTACGGACGAAGCTGGATGAACGATCTTGGAAAATGATGCATCCGAGCTGTACGAGGCGTGTTTTTGTCCTGCTGCTACCGAGTAGCTTTTAACATTGTTTACGTCGGTGTTGTTGGTATTAAGTTCACTTTTATGAACTCGAGGGGCTGCGTTCAGCATTGCATATTGCATATGTCGTTTTTCATTTCATTGAAGTTAAATTTAAGAATAGAGTCGTTATTAGGTACCCGTAAGTTAGAGCTAACGTATGTAGGAAGCTCTGTTGATAATTTTTTTCGCGGACTAGCCCTAAATAGCGAATGGTCTCGCGTAGTTTGTCTTTTTTGTCTTTCTTTTTAGGACCACGTGGTGTATCGAAATTAACATCAATCTTTAGGAGATTGACGTCGTGTTTGATCTGTTTGAGGGCAGCCGAGATTTCTTCCGAGCTATAGAAGTCGGACATATTGTTAATAAATATATCGTTGTTCAAAAACTCGTAATTATTAAATAAATAGCACAAAACTTCGTTAATCGTTAAATTCTGTTTACACGCAATGATGCCGGAAAAAAAATGTATATGTATATATATATATATATATATATATGTATATATTATATATATTTAATAAATAATATATATATATATATATATATATACTATATAAGAGTATTAATAATTATAAAGTATTATATATATATTTGGTAAATATTGCTACATGATCTGTGTTAGTTAGCTACCTGTTTAATTTTTCGATTTTTCGAACAGTTGATCGTAAATCATTGTCAGGTTTCTTGAGTTCATAACTAAAATTGCTATTTATTTTAAGCATGTTAGAACAAAAAAGCTTTTTTCAGTGTTCCTATACCATCATTGGTGTTCTTTGTTAATTTAATTGATTTCTTTGAAGGTTATCAGCAAGGGGGGGCCTATTTACCAATATAAAAAACTTTCTTATTGGTTGAAGCAGGGATATGCAAAGAACCTCAATTTTTTCAACTTTTAATTATTTTTGGTAATGTCAATTTTATTTTTTAATATTGATAACAAAGAAAAGTAATTAATTACCACAATGAATAACAATTAAAAAATATTGAAATTTTAACATTTTAAATATAAGCAATATTCCTTAATTAGTAAATCATATACGATCGTAACTTTTGACTAATCACCCTCCAACTGCCTTTGCAATAATAACTTTATGCGAATACTTTACACAGTGAGGGGCACTAATTAAATTTTTTAAGTTAGACTTTAACTTATTTTTAACTAAATAATTTTATTTAAACTTTCAGTTGCAACAAATTAAAAAAGTTGAATCTTAACCTTTAAATTGAAATTAAACTTTTTCGAACTTTTTTTTCAAATGATCGGTTTAATTCAAAGCATTCTAAATGAAGACTTGAAAAAGTATATAATAAGAAAACAAGCTGAAAGTTATTAGATTAAAATTTTATAAAAGTTATGAAAATTTTAACAAATATGGATAACATTGTCTGTTTTCAGTTGAAACTGAAGAAAAATCATCATATTTATTGTTTCATCTGCCATCCTGCGTCTGCGAGCAGTCAATACTTGTGCTGCTACACTAAAAAGCCATTCAACAGCTGCCGAACTTGGTAACGTGGTATTACTTTTTTTAAATGCTTCGGCAATCATTGTTAATTCTGAAAGGCTACTCTTTTTATCATCTTTAAGACAAAGATTTGGTGGAGCGATTATGCAAAACAAGTTAAATCACGTTTAACCAATTTCGTAGAAATGCAACTTTTTAAAAATAGACCAAAATTTCCAAGATTCAACCAATTTAATAACAAATGCCTAAAATATTATCAAAATGAATATTTTTGCTAGAGTTCACAAACTAGATATAGTTTTCTAGTTTTTGCTAGAGACATTTTATTTTGATATAACTCATTTTGAACGAAACTATGTGTATACTCGAATATTAAGATAATTTCTCAGTCAATTGTTACTCTTGCAGTGCATTAATCTATTTTAATTTTTATTCTAAAGACCAATGTCCAGTGCACAGCAATTACACTCCTCCCCATCGTGGTCGTACTCTTCGTTTTTCTGTCCAGTTCTTAGTGAGAGATAGAAGAAAAGATTAGGATCTGATTTCCACTCATCTCCAAACGTAATGACTAATAATTTCTTCGGAACTCATGTTTAAAAAATAATTATTAGTTTTCTGAATGGAAATAATTATAATATTGTCAATAAACAAAATAAACAAACAAAATAAATAAACAAAATATCTTTCGAATCGACCGAAAACTAGTAAACATTGAGAGAAATGTCAGTCACGTGACGTTGATGGATTAAACTTGTTTTGCCCAACTCATAACTTGGGTTTTAACGTCATATGCACGAAATAGATTCTTTTGCTATGAGAAAATTACATGAATATAACGTAGTCTGTACGAAAATAATCAATCAAAGAGAAAAAATGATACTGCTGTTTATTTTCATACCACGAAGCCATAGCAGAGCAAAAGTGGATTTAACTTGTTTTGCATAATCACTCCACTGTTGATAACTGAGAAAATAAAAAATATTTAACATAAAAAAATACTGAAACAAAGATAAATTTGCAAAAATTTATTAACATTGCGTTTAACTCGACAATTAAATTATAGGCATAAAAATTAATAAAGAAAATTAAATAAAAAACTACTTGTTCTGATAAAAAATTACTTTCAGACGATTTCTCTACATTTAAAAATTAAAAAATTCTTCTTCATCATTATCTGAGAGGTAACCAAATAAATTTTAGCTAAATTTTTTAGTTAGTATTAAAAAAAAGTAGTTAAACTGCTGTTTTAACTAAACTATTTTTGTTAAGCTAAACTTTGCATTTAACAAAAATAAATTAGTATAACTAAAAAACTAAAAGTTAGTAACTTTTTAGTTAACTTTTGCCCATCACTGACTTTACGGTCACTAAATTAATTATTACGATCTTCAACTTCGTGCAGTATGACACTTTTACGTGTCATCATTATCGATGATTCCTCTGTTTCTAAATTTATTAGAGGGAAGGACTCCAATTGCACGTTGTTAAATATTTGGGAAAAGTTCAGAAAAGGAACGCGTGTGAGAACATCCTGCAGAGGTCTTCCATGCGAGGATCGGTTCGGTTGAGGAAATTGGATTTGCCATTTCTGGTCTAAAAGCCGACTTTATTTAGTTATATAGAATAATACATGGTCAGCTTCCTGCTGATGTTGTCCCTACGTTACTGTTTGGACACGATATTTGCACAAGAGACCATAACTTCGAGCTAACTATAAGTTCTAGCAAAGTTGTCAGTGACTGAAACTTTTGATAAGCAGTAACACTAAATTCGGATTTAGCTGCCAGCAGCTCGCCTACTCACCTTTCTAACAGCGACAACGGACGAGAATTGATGACAGACGATAGATGGTTCAAGTTTTGAGATAACACTTCTAACATGCACCTGGAAAGTAAGTTTACTCTACCTGGATGATAATTTCAATAACGACTTCATTACTGATAACGAGGAGTTTTTCATCTCTGCATCACTGATCGACAGGAAAGATATCAACAATGAATGTTACAGCATGTGTCTAAGCTCTCCGTCTGGTCAGAACTTGCTTCAAGTGCAGAAGAAATTAAGGCAGGACAGCGACGTCTGGTTATGACTAGAAAAACCGCAACAACTAAAATGTGGCGTAACCGTAAAAGAAATAACACAATATCGACTTAAAGTTGTCTACCCTCGATGTTTATATAGACATTTCTAAAGCCTTTAATTCCACTATTCATAATATTCTTTAAAAAAAACTTTTTCGCTCTGGAATATAAAGTATTGCTTGGTTTTGGTTTCAAAATTATTTAGCCAATTGGTTTCAGTATGTCTGGGTATTGGAACAATTGGAACAATACCCAGGGTATTGGAACAATTTGATCAGAGCTTGTAGCAGCCAGAGGAACAGGTGGCGAATTATTAATCAAATTCTATGCAATAATCGAAGTGAGAACTTATTGGATGCAAATGTCAGTCATACAGCTTGTGATTTTATGAAACTTTTTACAGATAAAGTTATCTGGTGTTTCGACTTTGTTATCAGAAGATAGACAATCACCAACCGTTGCGTTTGCATCATTTCCTGAAATCACTGAGAATGATCTCGTGAAGATTATACTTGATTCTCCGTCTAAAACGTGTTCACTGGATATCATGCCAACACACATTTTTAAAAAGTATCTAAAGTATTTCATAAGTTTTCTAACAAGTTTCATAAATCTTTGCTTGCGGAAAGGCATTGTGCCAGATTATTTCAAGCATGCCACATTAATTCCGATTCTGAAAAAAATAGGTTGTGATGATGGGGAGATTGGAAACTACAGGCCAATTTCTAATTTTACATTTGCCTAAAAAGTAATAGAGCGTGTTGTCATGAAATTTTTACTAAACCACTTGACTAATAATAATCTTATGCCAAAATATCAGTCTGGATATCGTCAGTTCCATTCCACTAAAACAGTTTTGTTGTATGTTTCATCAAGTTTGTTTGCTGCAACTGGAGTTCAAAATATATCGGGATTATCATTCCTTGATATGTCGTCAGCATTCGATTTTGTGGATCATGAAATACTTTTAAGGAGATTGCAGTGCAGTTATGGTGTTCTTGGAGTTGTCCATGACTGGTTCAGGTCATATAAAAAAATCGTACACAACGAGTTGCATTTAAAAACACAGTGTCAAATGTATCATTGGTCTCATCGGGATTGCCTCAAGGATCTGTGCTGGGACCCATCCTGTTTCTGCTTTATACATCGGATATAATAAAAATAATTAGTTTCCACGGATTCGTTTGTCATGCTTTTGCGGATGACATCCAGGTGCTGATCACCAGTTCTCCAGATTCATTTGCAGACGAGGTGAACAGATTCAGCAGATGTATGTCAGATGTTGGCCGTCGAATGTCAGATAATTCATTAAAGTTAAACCAATGTAAGATTCAGTTCCTCCCGGTTGAAACATGGCAACAGTTAATCAAAGATGAATATCACTTCAATCAAAGTAGGAGATGTAAATATATCTTTCAGTAAAACAGCTTTTAATTTGGGGGTGTTGCTGGATGATAGATTGTCCATAAAAGACCACATCAAGGTGATTTCAGTTTCTAGCATTACTCATATAAGAAATTTATACCAAGTTAGTCATTTGCTAGATAGATCAGCATTGGAAAATCTGGTCTATGCGTTTATATAATCACGGCTGAACTACTGCAACAGTCTGTTTTGTCTGATACATCAATTGACGTTCTTCAGTCGTTTCAAAATAAGGCTGCAAAACTTGTAACTGAAAAGTTGAAATTTGATCATGTAACGACAATATTGAATGAACTTCACTGGTTAAAGATTGAGAAAAGAATAATTTTTAAAATTGCAGTGACTGTGTTCAAATTTTTCGAATGGAATGTCACCGGCTTACATTTCAGATAAATTTTCCACGAAAGCATCTGCATCATGTTTTCATCTGAGATCAGATAATATGAATCTTTTGGCGGTTCCAGCTAGGCATCTACGAATAAGTGCAAGAAATATTGCGGTTGCGGGTTCGACGGTTTGGAATGACCTACCGATTTCATTAAGAAAACCTGGAATTAATTTTGTGGCATTTAAAAAAAAATTAAAAACATATTTATTTTTTTGTTGATGAACATTAAATTTGAATATTTTTAGTTATGTTGATCACACACAGGTATTTTGTTTGTTTCACTTTATGTATATATATATATATACATATATATGTATATATATATACTTTTGGTATATATATATATATGTGTGTGTGTGTATATATATATATACATATATATATATATATATATATAGATATATATATATATATATATATATATATATATATATATCAATCTTCGTTTAATTATGACTAGGTATGTTTAATACAATGCGTTTTTTTCTGCGTCAATGCTTATTATTTATGTTTTTATATGTATATGTGTGTTTTTATCTGTATTTCCACATAAATATTAACCGTTTATTAACCTTTTATTGGTTTATTACTGCTAATTTCATTTTAATTTTTTTTAGATTTTTCATATAATATACTTAGTGAGGAACTATGTAATATATACAACAACTAATAACCTAATATTCTATTTTATTTTCTATACAACACAATAACAATCTGCATTTATATTAATATATAGGTATATGTATATATAGAGAGAGATGTGTATATATGTGTATATATGCGTGTGTTCATGCATGTATATATGTGTGTGTAGTATTTATATGTCCGTGTTCCGTGCTCATGTGTCGATATGGGGACATGTATACATTTGCCACTCTTTAGGAATTTTATATTAACCTATTATTCACTTAATGTTAATTCTAATTCATTTATTTTTCTAACTGATATTTAAAATTATCTCTTTATATAATTACTTTTCATAATTTTCATAGTTTATATTTTATTTTGTCTTATTTCTCTTTATTTTCTGAACTTCAGTATCTCTGCTTTTTTGACTAAATCAAATTGTTGTTGTATATTATTGTCATATATAAACATATAACATATATATATATATATATATATATATATATATATATAACAAGCAGCAAAGAATAGCAACATCATTACCGACCAGAAGAATATTATTGAATACAAGCAAAGGGAATGAACAGAACAAAGATATAATAAACGGACAGGACAAAGCAGAATAAATGATTTTCTTATTAATTTCAATAAATTGGATAATAATTATAAAATAACTGTTAGAAACATTGAAAAAATCAGCCGTAAACTTTCAAAAGTTACAAATTCAGTAGATTTTTCATATATTGCATACATGTACAATGTAAAAAAATACATACTTATCATTTATTTATTTATTCATTCATTTGTTCGTTCTTTCATTCACTTGTTAGTTTGTTTGTTCATTCATTTATTCATTCATTTAGTTTATTAATTAATTAACTGATTTATTTGTTTGTTATTTATTTATTAATACTAAATTTTGAAATGTTTATGTAACATTGCGTTAAAAATCTTTCTGCTATTTATTAATAAAAATATTCCAATTTTGAGTGTTTTTCATTTTACAACAAAATTTTGAACATAAATTTTATAATTTTCGATTAATTATTTCGATAAAAGAATAATCATTCACAAACTGTCACGCATTTAATTCTACAGCTATTTAATTCATTGGCTATTTAAACCTTTGTTTTGCTGTTGAGTTACAAATGTACGCAAACCTTTATTATAATTATACCAACTCAAATTGACAACACCTTCTTCATCAAATAAAACTTCCTTTTTCTACACATTTGTTAAATTTAAAGAACAAAAAATTAATGCTTCAAATTTGAAAAGATGAATATAGGTAATGGCCGAACAACAGTCAGTAGACTGCCGTTTTTGAAAACCGTTGGTATTCATTGAGTTAGTTTTATTACTTATTGATTTTAAAGCTATTTAATTCTTAATATAGAAACCAGTAGATCCTGAAGATTATTTTGTAAAACAAGAAAAGATCGGCAAAGGATCGTTTGGAGAAGTTTTCAAAGGCATTGATAGCAGAACAGGAGAAACTGTCGCTATTAAAATAATTGATCTCGAAGAAGCTGAAGATGAAATAGAAGATATCCAACAAGAAATTACCATCTTATCTCAATGTGATTCTCCTTACATCACAAAATATTGTGGTTCCTACATAAAAGTTGGCACATAAAAACTAATATTAAAAAATTGTTTTTATCAAGCAGACATAAATTCACTTACATACCAATAGGGCTCAAAGTTGTGGATAATAATGGAATACTTGGGTGGTGGTTCTGGACTAGATGTTATGAAACCTGGGCAAATAGAAGAACATTATATTGCTGTAATTCTTCGAGAAATTCTTAAAGGTTTATCTTATTTGCACAACGAAAACAAGTTACATCGTGATATAAAAGGTGAATTGTGTTATTATTCCACTGAAAATATAACAATTATTGTAGCTCACAATGTTTGAGCTGAAATGCGTTTTTGTATAAATGACCTTTATTTTTTTTTTTATTTTATTTATTGGAAGAAGCACAAAAAAGTAAACATAATACTTGTGATAGTGCCTTAACTAAAGTTGTCCTTTCAACCAAGTTCAACAAAAAATTCAACAAAGATAATTGAAAATGAAGAAATTAAAAATGATGGCAATTCGTGCACGCGAACATACGTCACAAAAATTTATACATTTGCATTTCAAAAGTAAATAATGTTCGCCTCCCATAATATTGACAATTAAATAAATAAAGATTGAATCGACATGAAAAATTCACAGTAGAGGTTCATTACAGAAACAAATTCAAATATCAATTTTGGCATATTTTAAAAAGTTTATCGTTAAAGGATCATTACATAGGCAAATGCGAGAATCATGATGTTATTAACTCATTATAAAAAATTTATCGTAGAAAGTCTATTACAAAACAAATTCTATTTTTATAAAATGTTTACCGTAAAAAAACTATCACACACATTCATTTTCATTTTGAAAGTTTACCGTAAAAAGTTTTCCGTTCGAAGCATATTCATGCTCCCTCAAGTACGTTAATTAATATATTAATTAACCTTAATTAATATATTTACTGTAAACAATCATATATTACTACATATTGAAAAACTGACAATGTAATCGTAACTGACGTGGAAGGATTATGTTTTCCATTTTGCAAACATTTATTTTATTTTAACTTGAAAAAGTTCATGCACCTTTTTAGATAGACAAACCCCACAAAATTTTGGTATAAATTTAGGTGTATGCACATTTACTCCGGTTATACTTAACCCGTTGCACTTGATCTCGCTGACTTGGTTCTTAATATTAAAATTAGTGAATAATATATATTTAAATAACTATATTGGGTTTGTCGCTGAACTCTAGTTATGTTTTTATTTTCATCATAAACCGTCCTATACCCATTGTTATTAAAATACTCAAATGTTAAGTATTTAAATACTTGGCCAAAACGTAGTCAAAATTAGTTAAATACCAAACACTGCTACAAGTATTTAGATACTGGCAACAAGTATTTTAAAAATATTTTAAATACCATGCAGTTTTCGTTTAATACTAAAATTTACACGTTAATAAAAAAAGGTTCATAAATTAACAAATAAAAGGTTCAAAAATTAACAAATTTTTTTATCATTTTATATACACTCACATAACGTTGCAGTAAGTTTCATAGATGTTTGCATTAGAAATAAAAAAAATAACACTGCCCCAATTTCAGTTCTGTTTGTCCCAAGCAGAGTTTGTTGCAACATCTGTATAGAATGGAGCCAGTGTGTACAAATAAAAATTTTCATTCTCGCCCGCGGTTTCCGATGTTTTTGAATTCTGTAGACGATGTCGTTCAATCGGGTTATGGTCTGATTAGGTCCTTTCCAATCTCGTTGAAGCTTTAGAGAGACCATCCTTTTTTCCGATGAGGGTTATAGAGCTATCGCAAATCGTTTAAAATAAATCCTGCACTGTTTCCATTTTGATCGTATCGGGTCTTGGTTGTTTTCTTATTCTTTTTTAACTTCACGCGCGTTTATTGGTGGATGCTGTTTAAACTCTGATGGGGATTGTCCATATAATTTGTTATTGATTGTGGGGCCTTAGGTGGTACGCCATATTTTATATCAGCTGGGGTTTTTATTGTACTTCCAAAAAATATTTGAGGAATCTTGTCTTCTTTATTGACACAGCTCACCAAACAGTTGCGACACAAAGTTTCGACTTTGGTCTGAATGCAACTCCATGGGAACACCATACCGACTGATCCAGTTTATTACAATCTCTTCAGCGATGGTACAAATCTCCTGATTTGGTATCGGATACACTTCCGGCCATTTGCTAAAATAGTCCGCTACAACCAGAATGTAGGTTTTCATCATTTGATTCAGGAAATGATCCGGCAACGTCAATAGCAATTTTATTCCTAGGTGCCACAATATGCAGCAATTTTTCGATCCATCTGTTGATTCCCATTTTTGTTTAAAATCCCATCTTCCAAATTCAAGAAGTCCACTGAGCCCAGTAGTTTTTCAACGACTAACCGAACTCAAATATGTCTTGCCATTCAGGTCGCTGGCCTAATTTCTCCAATGCAATATCAATTTGTAAATCTTTGCAAGTTGCGCGCTTGCCAGTTTTTCCGGTGTTTATCCTATACCTGCCGTTATTGTAATTTTTCGTACATCTTTTGTTTGTACTTTCTCTTCCAGTCGACTGTAGTATTTGCAACCTGGTAAACAAGGTTACGCAGTAGTAACGTTCAGGCTGTGTAAGACTTTTACAGTAATAGGACAAAATCTTTTCTTCTCCGTCAACAATTTGTGACAAACCCGCTCCAATTCCACAGTTGCTTGCATCCGTATCCAACACAAATAGTTCACCTTGGATTGGATACACTTACAAGGAAGCTTCACATAATTTTCTTTTTAGTCGCTCAAAAGCCGCAAATCATTTTTATCTTTCGGAGTTGTTGGCCAATTTTTTACCATTTCTATTTGACTTGGATCCGTCTTTACTCCATTGGAAGATATGACATGTCCCAAGTAATTCATGTCTATTGCAAACAATTTGCACTTTTCAACGTTTATCTTTAAGTTAGCTGCTCGAAGTCTCAATAATATATCTCGTAAATTTTCGACATGCTGGTTGAACGAATTTTCTAAAACAACTATATCGTCTAAGTAGACAAGATATGTTTTCCAGGTGAGACCTCGTAATACACATTCCAATAGTCGTTCAAACGTAGCTGGAGCCTTGCAGTCCAAACGGCATCACAATGAATTACCACAAGCCTGATACGATTGAAAATGCTGTTTATTCACGATCGATTTTCTCGATCTCTACTCGCCAATATCCGCTTTTCAAATCAAGCGTGAAGAACAAGTGTAAACCGTACAACGTGTCCATGATGTCATCTAAACTCGGTAGTAAAAAACAATTTTTTTGTCAGGTCGTTTAGTTTTTTTTAGTTCACACAAAAGCGAGTGCTGTCGTCTTTTTTTTACTAGGACAACTGGCGAGGTCCAAAAACTAGTTGATAGTTCGATGACACCTTGGCTTAGCATTGTAGTTATCATCTTTACTTTTTCTTGTTTTGCTAGTGGGAAACGGGGTGGTATATTTTCGAGTGGTTTTGAGACCTGAGTATCAATTCGATGGGTAACAAGGCCCGCCGTTTATTCTTGATTATCGTCTCCAGTTGAAAATACATCTGCAAAATCCAATATCAAATTTTCGGCTATTGAACGATCTCCCTGTTGCTAATTGAGTTCACCAAATAGACCCTCCGTAAGCTTTTCAGAATTATCTTGATCGACTAGCCGACCACTATCCTGAGGTTAAATATCCAAAAACTTTACGATATTTACAGATTGACAAAAGCCTATTTCTTGGTCCATTTTAATTGTAATAGAATGCTCTGCCACATTTAACACCCAAACTGGAACAAAACCATTTTCATTTGCTTTTACGAAACTTAATCCAATAAAAATGTTGTTAATTTCCATCGTCGTCGTTAGCTCAACCAGGTAAAATTGGTGGTTTTTAGTATTGCCAATTATTTTCATAGTTGGAATGGTTCTCGATTGGAATCGTTTGTTGAACTTTTGCCGCTGACCTTCGTAACGCCACCACAAAAGCCGTTGCCCGCTCTCTTTCATTCCAGCCATAATTCATAGCTGCTGCTTTAAACTGGGTTTTAAAAACGTTCCAAAAAGTTTCTCCGTCAAATGCTGGCGCTTTCAATGTCTTCGCGGTCAAATGGCTTACAGGTGTAGAGTTTATTTTTTTAGTTTATTCCAAATCTTGTTTAAGTTTATTCATTTAGCAAGATAACTTCTGATCGAGCTCGATAATTTTTTTATAAACTTTCTATCCAATTTTTGACGTGAATTTTTTAACAAAAAAGTTGTATATCATGACCAGCGAAAAATTTGATCAATCTTGACGTGTTCTCTCACTGCTTTCAACACCATTTCTTCAGAATTTAGTGATGCTAGTTGAACATCAGATTTTTGATAGTCCAATTTGTATTTTTAGAGTCTGTGAGCCTGTTGTCTATTCTTGTGTAATCATTAAATGTTTAACACCAAATACTTTTAATTTTTTATTACCGTTTGATTTGAGGTAATCGTGAAATTTTATTTTTAATGATTCAAACCACCCAATTTGTATGGCAGTCCTAAAACCTCAGACAGACAACTGGTTATCGGTAAAGCCAGTCAAGATTTGACAGTTTCAGTAATTAATGGATCCAATTTACTGGCTATATAGGAGAGCGAAATGTCGTAGATTTGCAGATTAATAGATTAATAGATTAGATAGATTTGCTGTGGTGTCCAATTTTGAAGTAGTCCGAAACATGTTTTGCAATTTGTTGAGCAACAAATCTTTAAATCTTTGGAATTGTTGCATTCAAAATTGAAGCATTTACTGAGATATTTAAAATGTTGACCAATGCGAATCTGCGGTATAGCAGTGTCATCGATCGACAAAATCAGTAGTAATTGTTCGTAAATTCAGTTCTTTTTCCTCATCCCAAACGAGTAACGAGTTTATTCTCATTTTCATCCCGGTAGCTTTACAACAAGTTTTGTTCAGATCGACCGATTTCTGGGCGTTAGCAATGCTGTTGGCTATAATTGTTGAGCTGTCCGCAAACTGAAACCACTCCCTTGATTTTAAATGAGCTGAAGGTCCCCACATGGAACCACATTGCTGGTTGTCCTTAATTTTTAGCAATTTTATAAAGGGATTGAAGCAGAAGTTGAACAAAAACGGTGACAAAGAATCACCTTGAACTACACCGTGTTTGGCCAAGATCGGAGGAGTTGGAGTTTAGTACCAGGATACCGATATTGAATAATTTGTGTATATAAATTTTATTAAATTGGTTATAGCGGGATGTGATGATATTTTGCTTCCGGGGGCTTTGATTATTCCACAATTTGTAGCAAAATAATTAATTGTAGATTAAAGTATGAAATTCAATAGTGTCTTCGTCTAAGTTGTTAAAGTTTGAAAAACTAGTTTCGACCCATTCCGCATTTATTTTTGGCAATTTAACCACCGTGAGAGGCTTCTCAGTAGTTGTTGACGATATGGACGACGGACGTTATTGAAGCCGGCTGCAATGTCAAGAGGGGCAAACTATTTCAATCATCTGCCACAGCTGACTTTACTAGAGATTCTGAGCGTGTTGAACATTTTGCAATAGCGTTGATGCTTTGTAAGGCATGTCCGTTCATAACAACATTTTTCGTAGCAACAAGATAATGAAATATTTTATATATTGTTAGAATATTCAAAAAACTAAAACATAAATATTTAAAGTTATTGTTTGCATTAAAGTTAGGAGATACAACTGAATTATTAACATTAGTAATTAACTTCAATTTATTGAAGCGCCTAGAGTATGTTTTGTTACAATGTATGCATTTGACAGCCATATTAAAATTTAAGTTACATATTGGTTCAAATAATTAAACTACTAAAACCGGAATAGATTAAATTAAAATTGAAATATTCTACAGATATTTCCGAACCGAATGTAATGAGCTTATATTTAAAAACTAAAATTATGGCAATAAAAACCTGAATTATACATAAAAACAGTAAGTTGCATAAATCGTTCAACTCTCTTTCTAATAACAGTGTGTCAAAGTTGAATGAAAAATATCTGACTCTGACTCCTGCTCCTCAAAAAAATCCAACTCCCGACTCCGCCCCTTCAAAAAATCTGACTCCGATTCCGGGTAAATATTTCCGACTCCCGACTTCGAAAATTCAAAAAAAATTTTAACTTTTGTATAATAATTTCATCTTATTAACACTACTAAAGGAAAAATACTTTAAGAACACTTGAAATTAGTCAATGTAATTGTTAAATCAGTGAGAGAATCGATTTTGTTAACGATTTAAATTTAGTAACATTCTGTCCATAAGCATTTTATTTCATCGTTAATGTGCGATTTTAGATTGCCCTGAAGATTTCCTTGTCTAACTGAAATGGTAGGAGTTAAACTTTTACAGCCTGAAAAGATGATAGAATAATCGGTGTATATAAATTTAATTGGTTTAATTATCTGAGGCGGAATGTGGTGGTGGTCGACAGTAGACGAAGTGAGGTTGGGGCTGACTTCGCTGAATGCGTTGCGGAGAACTTACAAGAGACGATGATGGTACGTTGATGTCTCTTCGCATCCTTATTAATGTGGGTTAACATCTGAGTATGTTCGGTTAGGTCATCAACATTTGAATAGAATTTTTTTTGAATGTTTTCAACTAGTTCAAAAGAACGGCATTAAGTGTAGGTTAAAACTTTCATTTATTTCACTCATTTTGTTTTTGGGTCAAAATGTAACAAAAATAATTATTTTAAGCAACAAAATTACAGTTTGAATATAAATCAACATCGAACACGCAAATTTTTTATGCAATTTTTAAAGTATGTATGTTAAAACGCTAAAAATTTATGTAAATTAAGGCAAATAACCAACCACTCAAAAATTTTGATTTTTTTCATTTAATACGATAAAAAATCTTTTTTGTATTGGTTTACAGCTGCAAATGTTTTGTTTTCCAAAAATGGAGAAGTGAAATTGGCTGATTTTGGAGTAGCTGGTCAAATTACAGACACACAGTTGAAAAGAAATACTTTTGTTGGCACTCCATTTTGGATGGCCCCTGAAGTAATCCTTCAGAAACCCTACGACTGTAAGGTAGCTTGAAAACATTTTCTTTTTTTGCGCAAATTGTTAGTGCGTTAATGAAATTGTATTTATTTCAGTCAGATATATGGAGTTTAGGAATTACTGCTATAGAATTTGCTAAAGGTGATCCACCTCATTCTGAGCAGCATCCCATGAAAGTTTTGTTCAACATTCCGAAAAATGAACCACCAAAACTCACCGGTCATTTTAGCAAAAATTTCAAAGAATTTGTCGAGCACTGTCTCAACAAAGATCCTGCTAATGTTAACATTAATCAATTTATAAAAATTACTTAACTGTAAAACCAACATTTTTTTCATTGCTACAGCGTTTGACAGCTAAAGAACTACTAAAAACCTCATTTATTAAACAAGCTAAAAAAACATCAATATTATCAGAACTTGTTGAACGTTACAATCGCTGGAAATCAATGAATCCTGGCGATGACTCAGACGATGAAGATGATGAGTTGTAAGCGTTGATTTTTATTCAGTTAAATTTAATAAGCAAATTACATTATTCATTTAAGAGGCAACAAAACAATGCAATCTGTGAGATGGGTTCAAACAATTTCTTCTCTAAAAGAGAAAACAAAAGAAATAGAGGAAATAAAAAATCAATTGGTAACAAAACAACATAATGATTGAAAAAAATATTTTACTTTGTATTAAAATTAAGGTCAATACTGATAAAGAACATTTCAAGCACGCACAGCCAGAAAGCCAATTCATGGACATTGTAAAGCAGGTATGTTTTATATTCTTGCAATATTTCAAATTAAATATATAATACTTCAATTCAAATTTCAAATCGGATTTTGTATAATTTTAAACACTTTAATTAATTGAATGTTTACTTAGTTATATGGCAATCATTATATATAATGTTTGAATTAAAGTAGAAAAGAGAAAAAATTTGCTTAATCACATAAACGGTGGTGAATTACATAAAGAGCTAAAAACAAATTTAGTGTAATAGATATTGCATATAGAAAAATGTTTTTATAGTTTTATTTGAAATTTTTATTATTTAATTTATATAAATCTTGGTTTTTAATGGACTTCTAAAACAAATTAAAAAATTCTTTCATCAGAAATTTAGAAGAAAAAATATTGTCAACTTTTTAAATCCTTATCTTAATATTGAAATATTTGAACATAGCTGGTAACTTGAAATACGTGAAAGTCGGTCTGAATAATTTTTTTGGTCCCTGGGTTATCAGGACAAATAAGCATTTTTCGCTCTTCTTCATAGTTATAACTGGCCGGTGGACGACGAGCTCGTTTAATCCCAGTGAAAAATAAAGACAACATAACTTCCAAATAATCGATTTACTTATTTACAAAATAATAATTAATTAATTGTTTTTGAATAAATAAATTAAGTAAGTAATTAATTAATCAATAAATCAACGTTAATTAATTTTACAAATAAAAGTTAATGTTCACAAACTATCAAATTAACGTTCAGAAAAAATCGCTTTCACTAACGTTTATCGCAAATACAATAAAAATACAACGCAGAGTCAAATATCGCTTTCGACACTAACAATCAATCGCTTTCCAATATCAAATATTCAATAACAACTATTCAACATCTCGCATGTCTTTATATACACGTCTTACCGACGCTTATCGAACCGTATGCGTTCGTAGCGACACTAGCGACTTTAGCGAATATATTTGTGACGGTTATAACACTGACCCCCCTTTTACTTCTGTTCGTTGTATCGTCCGTATAAAATGGAGCCAGTTTGTCCAAATGAACAATTTTAATTTTCGCCCGCGGCTTCCGATGCTCTTGAATTCAGATGATGATGTCGTTCAATTGGGTTATGATCTGATATGTTTAGTTCCCAATCTCGTTGAAACTTTGGAGACCGTTCTTTTTTGATGAGAGTTATCCAACCATACCAAATCGTCGGCGTTAAATCCTGCATTTTTTCCCATTTGATCGTATCGGGTCTTGGTTGTTTCAATATTCTTTTTTAACTTCAGGCGCGTGTATTGGTGGATGCTTTTTAATCGCTGACGGAGATTGTTCACATAATCTGTTATTGATTGTGGGGTCTCAGGTGGTATGGGGTTCTTATTGTACTTCCATAAAAAATATTTTCAGTGGTATTCGTCAATTCCAGTCTTATTGGTTTTTTTCAACCACCTCGGTCAAACTAGTGTTCAACTAGTGTTTGGTTGAAACGTTTCACCATCCCATCTGACTGAGGGTGGAGAGTTGTTCTTGTTTTCTTTATGCCCAGTAATTGACACAGCTTACCAAACAGTTGTGACACAAAGTTTCGACTTTGGTCTGAATGCAACTTCATGGGAACACCATACCGACTGATCTAGTTTATTACGATCTTTTCAGCAATGGTACAAACCTCCTGATTTGGTATCGGATACACTTCCAGCCACTTGCTAAAATATTCCGCTACAACCAAATGTTACGGTTTCCATCATTTGGTTTAGGAAATGATCCGGCAATGTCGATAGCAATTCTTTCGAAGGGCACACCAACATTATAGATTTGCATTTTTCTTGAAACCTCTTTTTGAGACTTTTCACATTTTTTCGAGCGTTAGCCCAGTAGAACTTTTTATGTATTCTGTCAAGCGTCTTATTAGCTCCATGATGTTTCCCTGATTAGCCACCATGCCTTTCTTCAAGAATTTCTCCGATTTCATTCCTAGGTACCACAATCTGAATGTGATGTTTTGATCCATCTGTTGATTCCCATTTCGGGTTGAGCAACCCATCTTCTAAATGCAAGGAGCCTAGTAGTTTTACAACAACCAACTGAACTCAGATATGTCTTGCCATTCAGGTTGCTGGCCTGATTTCTTCTATGCAATGACATATTGTAAGTCTTCGTCTGTAGACTGTACGCCTGCCAGTTCTTTCGGTGTCCATCCTCTATTTACCGTTATCGTGTTTTTTTGTACACCTTTTGTTTTTACTTTTTCTACTAGTCTACTGCAGTATTTGCAACCTGGTAAACAAGGTCAACAAAAAACTCATCAACATTGTTGTGGGAGGTTCCTTTGCGGTGTATAATTTTAAAGTCGTACATTTGTAATCGTTCTGGCCATCGCGCTAACTGTTTTTCTGGATATTTGAAATTGAACAACCACTTAAACGCTGCATTATCCATTTGAAGAATAAATTTTTGTCCATAAAAGTACTTGTAAAAATGTTTCGTTGCCATGACCATCGCTAGCAACTCTTTTCTGGTTACGCATTAGTTACATTCAAGCTCTGTAAAACTTTTGCTATAATAGGCCAAAACCTTTTCTTTTCCGTCAACAATTTGTGACAAAACCGCTATTCCCGTATTTCTCCATCCAAGGAGGAGGCGTTTTTCCAAATCAATTTTAAAACCATGTTTTGTTGGGAAATCAACGCCTATTATGCATTTGTCAGTGATATCTTTTATTACGAAAGTACCCTCGTATAAAAAATATCTCCGTAGACGGGCACCGTTTCTCCTGTAGCTGTTCGAAGAATGTATTTATAAAATTTTTTTCTCTTTTTAGGTTGGATCCAGATCAGGTCTTATAATTTACCTCGTTGCTCCGGTGTCGATTATAATTGAACATTTCTGTGAACCAACTATGCCATCCAACCAAAGGACGTATTGACATCTAAGCAGCCTAGAGACTTTAATTAGGGTACTAGGGAAGTCAATTCTATTAGCCAACTTCTTTGACTTTTATTAGATTCTTGCCTCCTCGTTTAAGGCAGTCGGTCGTGACATGGGGTCACCATCTAACCGTTTGTGCCATGTTGCTACAGGACAGTAAATATTTCCAGAGAGTTGCTTACAATCTCGTCGTAGATATCTTTCTTTCCACAATTCCAGCATTTTGGCGCGCCATAATCCTGACTTCTGTTTTAGAATCATCCTTTGGCACGAACATTTTTTATAAATTTGGCGTAGCTTCACTTCATACTTTGATGCATGGGTGCATGCTTTGCTGACTCGAATGCAGCGGCGTCTTTGATGAGGTTGCGTTTGTCCGTTAGTATGAGGGTTTGTCTAAAATCTGAATCTCGAACAGTCTTTAAGAACGTTTCTAATGCAGTTTTTTTCTGTGTTGTGGGTCATACGTACAATACGTACAGTATGACAGCAGAGTTAACTGTTCAATATCCTGTGCCAGCTGCTGTACTGATTCTCTAGATCGCTGCGTACGGTTTCGTAACAGGAACCGATAGATTTGCTTCATGTGCTCTTCACCGTAACGTAAATTCAACGCATAAACCAAGACTTCATTGTTAGAATGGTTCTCGACTGGAATCGTTTGGAGAACTTTTGCCGCTAACCCTCGTAACTCTACCTTACGAGCCGTTGTCTGCTCTCTTTCATTCCAGCCATAATTCATTGCTGCTGCTTCAAACTGGGCTTTATAAATGTTTCAAGAAGTTTCTCCGTCAAATGCTTGCGGTTTCAATGTTTTTGTGGTCACGTGGCTTACAGGTGTAGAGTTTATTTTCTTAGTTTATTCCAGATCTTGTTTAAGTTTATCCATTTTGCAGGATAACTTCTGGTCGAGCTCGATAACCTTTTGATCAAATTTCTGATCATTTTTGACGTGACGCTTTTCATTTTTGCATTGATTACTGCCAATTGCTGTTCAGCTCTGACATCAAATTGTTCTCTGAGTTCTCTCAACTGTTGTATTATTTTAGCATCAATCGCGGCCGGCTGTTTTCGATTTTGGCGTCAATTTGTTCTCTCGTCCGTTTTATTACTGCTGATTGTTGTTCAATTCTTGATGATTGTTGTTCAATTTTTGATGATTGTTGTTCAATTTTATCGTCAATTTGATCTCTTGTCTGTTTTATTTCAGTTAATATCGTTAGAAAGAGTGCCATCATTTCGGTGTTTGCCTTAGCGTTTACTACTGCATTCGATTCGACATCCTGATCATCAAATTCAAATTCATCTGGATTCTTGTTTACATTAACAAGGGCTTCCATTAGGCTTGCCATCAATGCTCCTCTGTTTCCACTTGTAGCAAAATTTCGTTTTTGTAACTCTTCTTTGAGTTGCACCAATTTAAGTTGATATAGTTTCGTCATGTTGTATTTTACAAAATGACTTTTCGACGATAAAAAAAATTAAAATTTTCAACAACGATGCTTATACTTATTTTCTACTGAAGATCCTACCTGACACCAATGTTATAACTGTCCCGGTCGATGACGAGTTTGTTTAATCTCAGTGAAAAATAAAGACAATATAACTTCCATATACAACAATAATTAATTAATTAATTAATCAATAAATCAACGTTAATTAATTTTACTAATAAAAGTTAATGTTCACAAACTATCAAGTTAACGTTCAGAATCTATCGCATTCCGAATAACAATTCACTAATGTTTATCGCAAATACAATAAAAATACAACGCAGAGTCAAATATCAAATATCGCTTTCGACACTAACAATCAATCGCTTTCCAATATCAAATATTCAATAACAACCATTCAATATCTCGGATGTCTTTACATACCCGTCTAACCGACGCTTCTCGAACATCCTAGATATTTCGCTGTCAGAAGGTTTTAGTTCCTCCTCAAACTGTATACGTTCCAAGCGACACTAACCCTTGTGACGGTTATAACAATACAATTCTGACAAATGCAGACAGTGTTGTACCGACAAGAAAATCGAATGAAATCATTCATAATTTTAAAAATTTATTAATATTTTATTTCAAAACGTTTTTTTAAACAATGCTACAAAATTATAATTGATTAATACATTTTAATTTTAAACAATTGCAAGAACTACGCCTAAACATCATTAGGTATAGGTAATTATAAGACATTAACAAAACAGTCGGCCATTTTATTTAAAACAAACCTACTTCCAAGATAAACTGGCTATCGATAAATCTTTGCAAAAAATTATCTATTTATCTTATTTGTAAAAATAAATTTTTCAAAAATACAAAAACATTAACAATAATTTTAAAATTTTCTAATAAAATTTGAAAAAATTATATATTACAATGAAAATGTTTTTCTAAGTTGGAAGAAAACTTATAGATGTCTTTTATATTTTGAGTTTTAAAAGGTTTTTAATAGTTTAATAGCATCTTTTTAGACCATTTAAAGAAGGTGATCCACATAAATTTTTTTGTATGTTGTTCACATATATTAATGTTTTGATTCAACTTGGGCTGGTCATTCTTTTCGATTGACTGAGTGTTGGCAATATTTTGGCATCATCACACTATAAAATTAAGCACTTTGTTAATCCAATAATAAATCTATATTATTAAAATAAATTGGTAAAAAATTTACAAAACTTGTTTAGCTAAAAAGCGTCATAACGGTAGAAAGAAACACAGAGGAAATCGACAAATTTCAATCGATGTTGATAAACATTGAACAAGGTGAACCGGGACTCACAGATATTTTTTTAAAATCAATCGTTGAAAGCTTTGTTGCATATTCAAAAGAAAGCGAAGAGTTTTATGTTGATGACATCTACGATTGTCACAAGTAAGTAATTTCTATGCAATATAAAAAATTATCTAACCAAATAATGTTTACATTTTTTCAGTTCTACAAAAATGCATTACTGAAGATGAGAAGATGCGTGATTTCACTTAACATTTCTGATGTTTTTCTAATTGTTAAATTAGATTGGTGTTATTTCATTTAACGTATTAACTAATGTTTGAGTTTTTTATTGAAAATTATTTTAAAAAATCAGTGATTTTTCAAAGAAGTATCTAAATTAATTATCATATAAAACAAAATCTAATTATAGTGAAAAATTACTTTGATTCTAATCAAATTTAGAAAAAGACGACAAATAGTCAATATGAAATAGATTGCATCAAGTAGCGTCTTTTATGATTTAGCAATAATACATGTCCGGAATGCGGAATTTGTACCATAAAAAAAGGTATTTAGAACATCACGTAATGGAATAGCCAAACATACTCTTATACACACGATTGAAACGACACATCAAACACTATCGCGTAAAGGTGGAGGCAGGCTCAATTCTAAATAAAATTTATCCAAGCAAAATTCTAAACTCCCAGGTTTAAGGTTAAATAACGAAATGCTTATATAAATTTTGATTTGAAATTGTTTTTGCCTCCCATTCATAATAAAAACGTTTAGCAAAATTTTATAAAAACACTGGTTTAACAAAAAAATTGTAAAAGCAAAGCATAAAAATAAGCCCTAACTTTTTCCAAAAAATCCAAAACCCACACAAAAAATTTTTAAACACTAGTTGCGATTAAACTTTTGTCTCAGAAAGGCTGTACTATCAGAAAAGTGTACAGATATTTATAAGTGCAAACAACGATTCATATGCCGCGAGCGACAAAGCGTTTTATAGTTTTTGAGATTTGTTCATGAACTGATTTTACATTGATGCACAAAAAGAATTAAAGTAAAACACTTGACTTGAACGTTGACTGGTAAGCGTTTTGCGTCATTATATTGTTGTAACCCTCGCCGCTCGTAACTAACAACACCAGTGTTATAATTTCAATGATCTCTATATTTCCAACACCAGTGCTGTAGCTTCCAACGATTGTTAAATGTTCGTTATTCCGTAGACTTAAGATTTTCGATAGATGAACAATTGAACACGGATGAACACGAATGAACAAAACAATGCCGATGCTCTTTCCCCTCATAAACTTTGTGATAATATTTCTCTTCAATTTTTGCATCGATTACGGCCAATTGCTGTTCAACTTTAATTTCGAATTGTTCCCTGAGTTCAACTGTTGTATTATTTTAAAATCAATCAGTCGTAAATGTGATTTATGTAGTTACTTAGATTAGTTTATTGTTTCTATTACTGTTGGTATTCAATTAAACGTTCAACAAAATTTGCGTTTGAAGCAGTTGTGTTCATCTTTCGAAAATCTTGAACATACGGAATAACGAACACTTGATGATCGTTGGAAGCTACAATACTGATGTTGAAAATATATAAATCATTGAAGTTATAACATTAGTGTTGGTAGTTGCGAGCGGCAAAAGTTACAACATTGGTGTCAAAAGGGGGATTTTTGATAGATCGAAATTTTCTGCAATGAAGAATGCCAGCACTGGACGAACTCAATACAACTTATCTGAAAATAGGAACTAAGACAACGAAACCTCGACTTAAAAGAAGCAAAGGCAGTTTTGATGAACCGCCTAAGAGACGCTTTAATAAACAAAGGTAATGAACCTGATAAGTTCGACGTTCCGGATTCTATGGAAGAACTGAATAAAAAATTTGATCAACTGACAGCCGATATGAACGGAAAATTCGATCAACAAAACGACAAAATTGAACAACAGCTTGCCAACATGAATAAAAGATTTAATCAACAGGCAACCTAATCAAAAGAAATGGTAGCTGCGCTGAAATTACAGGTAACTGAAATGTCAGAAATACTAAAAGGACTAAACGACAAGTTAAAACAACAATCAATAAACTTTAAGATGGATTCAAAAAAAGAGATTGATAAAATGAACCAGAAAATTAGCCAGGAAATAAAACAAAAAACGGATGAAATAAAAGAAAAAATAGACAAGTTAGAATAAAAGCATCTTCGAGAAGTAGAAAGCATTATTCTAGAAATAGAAACAAAAGAATGAAGCACCATACATGGGTACGGCCCAGCCAATCAATAACAGTACCAATATTTGACGGTGCCATGCCCAGGGTAAGCTCTCAGACTCAGTTTGAAGCAATAGCACTCAGCTACATGTGGAGCGCGAGAGAACGAGCGACAGCATTGGTGATAGCACTAAGAGGCTCCGCTTTGGTGGTGTTACAATTCATTCCTGCCAAGGACCGTGACAATTTTGAGTTTCTAACCGACGCACAAGATCGACGCTATGGAAACTAGTATAAAAAAATGGAAAAAAGGGCATATCAAAAAATATTGTAAGAGGCCCCAGAAAAGTAACGTCTATTGAGAAAACGATACAGAAAAAAACGATTTTCAAAAAAATCCCAGCCTTATATTTGGAACGTCTGCAGCTAACACGTCGAAAAACTAGTGAAAACCAACTTTGCGGGGCCCAAGTTGGGTGGAGAAACAAACGCCCCAGTTGTATTATTCATGTTTCAAGACTGCATCGTTACCGAGATGATCTTTGGATAGAAGAAAAGATGTCTACGCAAATGTTCAAATACCATCAAAACAGAGACTGCTTACTAACTAATTTTTCTATTTATCACACTAACCTTACTAAATACAATTTAACAAAAATTCTTTTTATTTAACACGCTTTATCTATTCTTTTAAGAATAGGTGGTCTGCTCTTTCTCGTCTTCTTCATTAAAACCTCTAAACTTACTTTTTCGGCAATATCATGATTATATTATTAATATAATTATTTTTACTAGAGTATCTAATATTGAATTTTATTTATCTTTAATTCGTTCATAATCTGGATCGAAAGTCAGCCGCCTTCGTTGACCTCTACCAGACATTTCTCAACGATGGTATTTTGTATTTTGACGTCGGCGTAGGTTCCACCAGGACAATTTGTTGGCTGCTACATTCACTGTTTTTCAATTTTGCCCAAAAGATGTTTTTCTGACAGACTTGGTATTACCATATCACCATTGACCGTTACCTGGGTACATATTGGCTGACTGTCTCCCATCACCACTTCCGGGTTTTTTCACATCTAAGTGAAAGCCATATTTCATCATCAAGTCGATGCCCAAGATGCATTCGTCAGTAACGTCTGACACCAGAAACGTCCTTCAAACTCCAGATTTCCTATTTCTACCGTGCAAGATACTTTCCCGTACACATGCACCGTTCCTCCGGTGGCAGTTCAAAATAGGTGCTTGTTAGATTTTTTTTCTTTTAGATCCATTAACATATTTCGTCATTTACATCGTCTAGACAGATTGATATGAAAGGTCAGCAAGTTACCCAAACAGTATTTTTCTCCTCAACATGCAGCTGAAACATACAAGAGAAAGACGAGGTCCATAAAGCTTGGTTTTTAACGGCGTCGCAGAATTTACAAGTTTTGACAAGTTAGAGTCATGTGCCTTAATAAGGATTCCAGTTTTTGATTTTTTTGTCAAGATTTACTTTTTTAGCATTTTTAGACTTGGCGAGCTTCCATGCAAGATTAAGGAAATAGTCTTTTTCACTTCTTTTGTTAGTAAGCAGAAATGGAAGGCCAATAGCTAAACTCGGTTGTCTGAGGCTGTCTACTGAGACGCACGCCATTGGAAAATTTATAAGTTAGTTTATAAAACGATGTACGGTGACCTCTCACTCCCTTTGCCGTGTTCCTAAAGAAAAAGATCGTTTTTACCTGATTTTGGACGAAACGATACCAAAAATTTTCTGCAACATTTTCCGCGCGTACACTCAATCACTCTCGGGATTAACAACATTAGAAGCAAAGATCTGCTGTAATAATGCCAGTTAGAGGGAGAACAGTCAAGGAAGACGATATCAAATCAGCCTAGCTAAATGAGACCAGGAAAAAAACTAAATATGCATAAATATTATGCAAATGCATGATATTAATTAAAAATTGATCACAAGAAAATTTGTAAAAAATGAATAATCTATAAAAATTTTAAAATTTTATGAATTTGATGTGAATAATTAGTACTAAAGAATGATACCAGACTAAAAATGTGCGCGGGGGCGTTCGAGGGCCAAATATTGGTATATTCTAAGTACATGATGCCAGCCCAGCATGAAATTCGAGGAATTCTTTTATTTTTTTTGGTTGTCCATACATTGTTTTAGGTAAATGCTCCTCACGATGTTTTTTTATCTGCTGTCGAAGTAATTCGCGTTCATACATTGGGAGATCGGGAGGAGTATCAATATCAAACGCTAATTAAGCAAAGGAATCTGAAAAGAATGAATTAAATCAAGTTTTTGTTTTCTCGCATCTTTCAACTTTTCGAACGTTTTTATTTTGAGCTTGACGTGATTTTTCGGAATCTTGTGCTTGTCACTGCAGTCTGAAGTCTCCTGTTTGTAATCTTGTAATTCTTAATATTGTAATGTAATCATATATTTAATATAATTATAATAAATTTTGATTATTATTTGGCAGTATTGGGTTTACTTTAATTAGTTTAATTTCTTAGGTTAAGTTGATGTTGAGTTGAAATTCAACTGTTTAATGAACAATTTAATTAAAAATTAAATTTTAAAGTTTAAACTAAAATACTAAATACTAAAGTTTTTTTTATTTTTTCATTGGCAAGGTAGGAGATGAGCATGGAAGTGAGAGTATAAATAGACTTAAAAAAGTAAACTTAGATTAATTATAATAAAAAGTAGAATGTTAATCTCATATATACTATACATACATACTTAAAATAATAAATACTTAATTTAGTTTTGTTTCATAGAACATTTAAAATGAAATAAATTGAAATAGAATTGCATATTTACAACGGAATGTTTTTAAAAAACGGATTCGTATGTTAAAAACTGTAATTGCTGTAATGCCATTATATCAATTACAGCTTTTACCATATGAATCCGGTTATGGTTATGCATAGTAGGCAGAAAAGTATATGTTAAAAGCTATTAATTGCCGTAATGCCATTATAGCAATTACAGCTTTTACCATATGAATCCGGTTATGGTTATGAAAAGTATACTTTAATGCATTATGTGCAGCAGGCATGAAAATATACTATGATGAACTAGTTTATTTAACATTGGTAGGCATGAAATTACACTTTTTTGTATAACAGATAGGATAAAGGATTATTATACTTTATAAAAAAACTATATAACAAACATCAATTTGGAGTTTCATTACTGTTGATTAGCAATGCGAAACTAGGCAATGCAAATAATTATTTATTTGGTGTCTCTGAAAACCAATTTTAATCCTAACCCTGACATATTTTAAACTTTATTTATATAAAACTTTCAAAGTGCATACTTTAATTATTAATTTAAGTTTGCTTTCACTTCATTTATACTCTTCCTTTCATGCTTATCTCACAAAATTAATTGCGTGGTTAGAAAGGTTTACTTTCGCCAATAGTTTAAATTATAATAAATTAAAATTGAACCAATATTTGATTTTCATGTTGATCATTTTTAGGTTATTACTTATTAGAAGTTAGGAAATAGCAATGGGACAATATGTTATTATGAATTTTATATCTTATACAATGTGTTCTATCATTTGAATTTTGTCACAAAATGATGAGATTAAGGTCAAGTATAATGTTGAAGTATGGAATCATTGTCAGTTATTGATGGAAGAATTAAATAAATCTAAATATGAAATATTTAGAGATGCCCTCACAGAATCAGTAAGGAAAGTTGTACTTGTGAAAGAACAAAGAATCATAAATTGATAACGGATGACATTGTATTTCTGATGGATAAACAAAGGAAAGTAACAACAACTTCCGTTTAGACGACATTTTCCCCGAGATCGGGGGTTGCCGTTTGGCTACCTATGATGAAACCGAAATACCACTCGACGCCATCCACATCTGTCGCTCGCCTCAGTATCACGCAACCCCACTTTCACCCTGTCCTTCTCCACCTGCTCTCTCCATCCCAATCGCGGACGACCCCTTCTTACCACTTCTTCAACCTCGAACTCCAACTCCAACGCTCGCCTAATCCCGACTCTTCTCAAAACATGTCCATACCACCGCAATCTCGATCTCCTTATCAATGTCACAATGTCCTCATCCAGTCCCATCCTCGACATCAGCTCTGTACTACTCCTCCTATCCTTCACTTTAACCCCACACATCATCCTCACCATAGCTCTTTCAGCCCTCTGCAGTACACTTTCTTCCTCTCTCCTCAACACCCAAGTTTCACCACCATATACCATTGCTGCTCTCACACATGCTTTATATACCCTCCCTTTCATCTTCACTGACCATTTCTTTCCACACAATACCCCACCCAGTTCCCTAAATTTCATCCATCCCACACGAACTCTAGCCGTAACTGCGCCCAAACATCCTCCATCCGCGTACAGCCTATCCCCTAAGTAAACAAAGCTTTCCACTCTTTCAATACCACCA